CCTGCCCATGGCAGGGGGTTGGGACTAGATGATCTGTAAGGACCATTTCAACCCCTAAAATGCTATGATTCTATGACTAACAACTACTCCCCTGAGACAGCAAACACCAAACCTGGCCATGTTTCAGGGTTGTGGGGATTATCAGCTTTCTGAGGACATGAGTGCAGGTGCTAAACTGTGAGGAATCATTTTCCTCCCACTAAATGAAGAACTAAGTGGTTTTTACTAGGTAAAGCAAAAACACTAAAGTGTTTTCCACTTTTCACTTGTTCTTACCAACATGAACTTGGCCTGTCCTCCAAGACTCAGGAGTGGATCATCACTAGTCTGCTCCACAAACCTGGAAGTTTCCTGTTCACACACACCTCCATCCTTCGGAAATACCCTACCAGGGCTTCCAACTCATTCCCACCATTTTTCTTATTCTCACTAACGGCACACAAAACTCCCTTAAATAAAAAACAAAACCCCAAACCAAAGTAAAAAAAACACCATAAAGTACATACATTAAATGGCAGAAAGCATGCTGCTTCCAGTTCAGTAAGCATTTAAGCTCTTAACTCTCCTGACTAGAAAGACAGTGAAAACAGATTTTCAAGTGTTTTCTCAATTCTCTTGAAGAAAATAAATAAATAAACAAGCAAGCCTGATCTTCTGTGAAATCTTGTTTACCCTACCTTTCCAAGGAGTAAAATGCTCTTTGTCCATTACACAAGTACCTCCTCTTTACATGTGTGAAAGACTTATCAAAATGCTAAGTGCCAACATTTCAGCTGAAGCGTTTCCTGTAAACAATCACCTCCGGCAACAGAGAGCACACAAAGCCACATCTGCAGCAGCAATCCAAGCTAATGGTTGTTTGCTAAAGCTCCAGGCCTGGAAACAACTCGGTATGAGTGCAGCTTAAGTGGTATGCAGAACCTCTGTGCACATTCAGAGTCGAAGAGTACACTTAAAAGGACCCCACCTCCACCTGTAGTCCGTAATGCCTAAGCAAATTCATCAGATAATCATCAACTGTGCCATACATAACCCCTAAAGAACCAAAGGGTTACATATAGAACAGAGCTTAGAAATGCTAAGGGATGAAACCCAGATGTCTGCAATTTCTGTGGTTTCGAAGGTGGAGTTAAAAGTACTGTGTGGAACAGATCAGCCCAGTCCACAGCAGGTATCTCAGAAAGAAATCTTTGGCAGAGCAAAGAACAAATTCTGTTTGAAGTGTCTCTGACCAGCAGCTGATACACTGCAAACAACCTCCCTTAAGAGTAACATCTGACTGCAGTGAACAGTCCCTAACCGATGGGACTGCAGAGAAAGTGACATGGCTTTCAAAGTGTAACACTTGATTCTCCAACAAGTTGAAATAAAAATATAATTGAGATTATACTAACATTTGTAACTTTTTGGTAAGTTTTATAACAACTCTTTTACACATGCTTCTGACCTTCCAGCTTCAAATTTGAGCTTAAGCATCACAACCATAGGAGTAATACAACATAAGGGCTTTTATCCCTTCAGCTTCTTACCTCTGTTCCTCTAAGGTCTTTGGGATAGTAAATGTCTTCAGTCATTTGAACACTTAGGCCAAAATCCACCAAAACAGCCTTAGTTGACATAAAGACAATGTTGCTTGCTAAAAGAAGGAAAAAAAAAGACAACAGTTAGGTTTTTAGCATGTCTGGCATTTATTTCACAACAAATCTGCTTCATTCAAATGTTAGCCTGAAAATGGACATTGATTAGCACGACCAGCCAATAGTCCTTCTAGCCAAAAAGGGTCTGGTAGTGACCTGGTCCAATTTTAAATCATATCTTAAAAATCAAACAGGACTGGTTTATGTAAAAGAAGAATCAATGTTTGGTCATTTCCCTAGCTTTAAATTAAAAAAAAAAAAAAAAAAAAGAAAGAGAAAAAGGCAGAGGGTAAGGGAGGAGGGTGGAAGACTGGTAGGCACCTCAGCACAGTAAGCCTTGCTCTGAAGATATTTAATGGTCTCCAAGGTGGAGAGCACAGTGTGAAGCTGTGACTATGAACAGCACAGCTGTTGGTCACCAAGATGTTTCTCTACACTAACAATTCAAATGGAGACAGAAATACAGTGTAACTGAGGCCCCTCCAGAGCAGCCACACCAGTCTCCTGCACTGGCCAGTGAAAACAGCTTAGTATGACAATGAAGGACAGACTATGGCTGCAAAAGTAATAAAAGACTCAGTGTTCCAAACTCTCACTGAACTGCAGCAATATCTAGGAGCTTAATTCACATTCCTTCATAAAACTCTGCCTAAGGCACAACTTTGTACTCAGAGGCTGTATTTGCAGCTGAATTTCTGATCGAATATTTATGAAGGTAGGGCTCTATGTGAGCCTTGAGAAATTCTTATTTGCTGTGGTGAAATGAAGTCTCCAAGTTACACAACAGAAACACATGTTCTCCCAGAGGAACCTGTGGGTCATTTTCCACCTTGACAGTGCCCACCATGATGATCCAGTGGGAAGACTCAAGCTTGATTTCAGTGGTACCAATTCCTGAAGCAATGCTTCACACAGCTACCTCCTTACCAGTGCTACAAAACCATGCAAGTAAATCTGCAATTTTAGGGATACTTTTGAAGATATGTTTTTTAAACACCACAAAATGGACAGTGCAGCAGGCCACACTGCCACAGTGCAGCCAGCTCTGCTGCCTGCCTGGGACTGTACCCAGCCCCAGCTGCAACTAGTTTTGGAATGAAGTTCTCTCCACCAAACAGCCCCATGGTTTAACTGCTCTCCAACCAAGGGTTAAAATGACTAGCAGCACTGAACACCTCCTGAGAGCCAGAATATCCTTGTCCCCTTCCTGGATCAGGTCAGTCTCTCAGTAAAATGCCTATCTCCTTCTGTATCAGCAGATCAGACTCAGTAGCAGCCAAATGGCAGTAGATGAAGTGAGGAAGAAATCAGAGATGTTCAGGAAACAGCCTTTTCTATTGATTCCATCTGGTGAGGGAAAACACAGAGCTCAGCTCCCTCGAGGTTTGCTAGGCAGTGGGCATGGCTGCTATTTTCAGGCCTGAGCTACCTAGCTCAGCCCCTGGCACCCAGCAGGCAGGAGTGTGCCCACGGCTCACTCCCAGGCACCTTGGTAGCCATCAGCCCCACCAACCTCTGCCTCATCACCTGCCTGCATCCAGCAACACAGGAAAAGGCTGGAAAAAGTGAAACACATCTACCACATTCACAATGGGCTGGTTCTCCTATCCACTACCTAGATGTAGTGGGTTGGGTTTGGGCTGGTTTGTTTTTTAGATCTTTTAATTAATGTCACTGTTACTGCCAGTTACAATAAACCCATAGGAAAGACTCTTCCTACAAGTGAGAAAGCACAATTAAGGGAAAAACTAGGCAGTTTTATAGTTGTCAGAACCTCAAAGGCTTACATCTAAAGTACTGACCCATATTAATTAAAATAAAACCCAAATGCAAAACCGAGATAAAAATTTAGCAATTCCTCTTCATTCCAATTCATCTTCTGTCAACTATTTACTGCAACACTTTGCTTTGAGTATTTCTACTTTAACCGTCAAGTTTAGCTAAATTAACTTGCAGAGATATATCTTCATTAGAAGAACCATTAGTAGAAATATATATAATTTTAAAACAATTTAATATTAGTGCATGTAATTTAGAGATATCAATACATTTTGAATATTTATACGTGTTAATATCCAGAGTTTTTTAAAAGCAAATATATACTAAAACTTGTTGTAATTATTGAAAGAAAAAAACCCCAGCACAAATTTTGTATTTGGTTCCAAAGTGTCTCAAACTCAGGAGAACAGCCATGGAGAAACAACAAAGCCTAAAAGAAGGTGCAAGTAGAAGTTGAGCATGGAAACAGCCAGGAGGAATTTGCATAGAAAGACATCAACTTCTTGCTTAACTCAGGCTAATAATTTAACTCTTTAGGGTTTTATTTAAACAGAGCTGCTTATGAACAGCAAAGGATCTATAACTTTCTAATCATCCTCTCTGCTGAAGTGAATTAACAAATAGTGTATATAACAATTATCACCAGAACCTGACATTGCCCCTTCTAAGCTTTATCCATCCCTCTCTCCCAGAGACACGAGGCTATTTGCCCCAGCTCAGTTCTAGGCTCTCAACCAGAGCCCCAGCTCAGCCTGGACCAGAAAGCACCCCAAGGAATCCCACAGACGTACGTTTGATATCATGGTGGATAATCCTCTTGGAGTGCAGAAAGTCAAGTCCTTTCAGAATATGCTTTGTCACCCAAATGATTTCAAACTCTCGCATAGGACCACAACTCTCCAGCTTTTCCATGACAGATCCTCCCTCTCCAGCTTCCATGAAGAGATGGATCGTCTCATCCCACAAAATAGCGCCATATAATTCAGCAATGTTTTCATGACGGAAACATGCTTGTATTTCAACATCTGATGGTTTGAACTGTTCCACTGGGACCTAGGATATTGAAAGAAAATCAAAGAAAATCAGCTCAAAAACCAAGTTATCAGTACTAACACTGGCTATCCTATAGCCTAATATGAAAGAGGGAAGCAAAGCACTCCTATCCACTTGTGAAAGTGTGGAACTTTACTACAATCCTGAGTAGTTCTTCCTTTGCAATTGAGAGACATCCTGTTAAAAGTTGAGAGAGATTTTGGAATTATGCCCAAATAAAAAGTGCAATCTTCCAGAAAAAGCAATGTAGCAAGAGTTATTCCCGTCAAAATCCAGTGGTTACGCAAAAGCTTTATGCAAACTTCCTGGTGAAGGAGATAAAAAATTCCCACTGCTTTTTCCATTAGCTTTGTGCAGTCTCATCTGCTCTACCAGAGCTATACACCCACCTGACAGGTGGATCAGTGCCTGCAGTGCTCAGCACAGTCTGCAGACTAACCCGACTCTGGACTATTACTGACCTGAAGTCAGTCCTTATCAGCACTGGTTTATGGCTTACAAGAAATGAAACCTGTTTGAAAAAGCCCTGAGAGCAGATTGCTAAGACAATAAAGGCAGTGTTTGCTTACACACGGAAAGGCTACTACCACTCTTTTTATCCTCCCTTCCCTCAGACTCATGTCTGTGAACCAAATAAGAGGTTGATATTTTTATCTCAATGAGAAACACTTGTTTGTATTTTCAGAAACATTAGGCTGCTTGAACTCTGCAGGAGCAGCAAACTAGAGCTGTCCCTGTGTGGACACTGCAAGGGAAGGACATACAGCTACCTCCCCAACTTTCACAGACAGAAGTAATACAGGTACTTATTCATGAGCCAGAGGATACAGAGCAATGTCCCAGCTGGGCTTCTAGTAGCCCTGAATACTTACTGCTCAATTCAGAATAGTATGTTAAAAGGCAAAGCTGAAAGAAAATATTGGCTTGCATAAAAGTAGGGCAGTGCCTAGCAGTTTTCTTGAGACATCTCACAACCTTAACTCAGTCAGTGCCCAAAACACAATTACAGTTGCCCATACTGAGCTCTCAAGCACTTTAATGGCACTGGAATAAAGAAAACTCAAGTCTGTTGATGTTTTACCATGGTGAGTACAGCAGGACAAGTAGAAAATCTACTCCTGCACCACAGTCCATGTGCCAATTACACATACTTTCAGAACACAGAAACTTTTGCAGTCTCAGAGCCAAAAAATTAAAACAAGTTAACAGTTAAGAATGCACATTTTTCCTACCTTGTATAGGCCAACAAAACCAAGATGATCATCACCCAACAGTGGGATTTGATACAGACATATTTGAAAATATACTGTGTGTACTATGTCATACACTATTTGCTCAGAGATAAAACTACTGAACTAACATACCAGTTTGCATGCCATTCTTTTCTTGGTTTCTCTATCTTGGGCTAAGTACACCTTCCCAAAAGCTCCCCGAGGAATAAAATCAGAGCCAATGTTCCTGTAAGTCAGCTTCCATGGAAACAGGAGGACATCCGAGTCGATTTGATAGCGCCCATTCTTGGGTGTGATCTGTGGAGATAAATAATTTTAAAAAATCAGAGTGAAGTTAAAACCACTTCAAACCTAATTAATTAGATACATGTAGTGGGGGAAAAAAATATATCACTTATATATGTGCATGATGCACGTGATCTGCTCAGCAGTCTTTATTTAGAAACATCAAATGGGAACAGCATGTGAGGTGTGGCATTCATTCATGGCCCAGGCATCCACGTTTCTCTCTGGTGACTAACTTACAAAGTGTAAGTTGCAATTAATTGTCTTGAAACAACAACAACAGCGGCTGGGTTAATGAAATTACCCCCCTCTTGTTATTAGACCTACCTGCACATGTTTGTCCTTCCTGTAATCTGTTAACTTGTTATGCCACATACCTGTTACTCACAGGTTATCTTATACAATGTGAGCAAGAGTTTCAGCATTTCCTAATATCACATGTACTGCTAGGGGAGCACATTTTAATTTCCCATCTTGTATCAGAGTTTCTGCTGCTGAGTAAAAGGTCAAAGAATCTCCTTTATACTATAACTAAAATATAAGAGCAAGAGTCACATTGTCTGCTTTAGGTGGGTAATGTTAGGAGCTTTGGTTCTTCTCTATCATCAACTAGGCAAGGAAGGTTTCTCCAGGAAGCAATCCAGGGCATCTAAGTCAGTATCTTGCTCTAAATCTTTCTCTGAAACAGCTTCCTCCCTCTGCATGTGACAGAGAAATCAAACACCTAACTATGGTCACAGTGTGAGTACTGCTTGAGGTCTGATGTTATTTCTTCAGTTCTACAATATTCTCTCAGCTAAAGAATCAATGTTTCCTGTGAATATGCTTTTAATTAATTCAGAGACATAATATTGTCAGTGTATGGAATATCGTTAACCTGTTTAATGCTATCAAGGTTCTTGAAGAGATGTAAAAGTAGATCAAGGATAGTCTGTCACATGGCCTCACATACTCAGCTCTTCAGCTACTCTTTTTAAGGTAACAGCATATTAGGAAGACTATTTGGTTTAGATTTCTTTATAAGATATAACACACAATCTTTCCTGCTTGACCTACCTTCATGTTTTTCAATTAGGAAAGTATCTTCTTGACAGCTAAAATTGTCATTTGTGACTAGTATCTACATGAAATAAATTAATTCATTCAGGTTCCTAAATTTGGAGAGGATAAATTCTTAACCTTTGGTGGGAGGGAGTATCTTTTAATAAAAAGTATTTTGTTTAGGATATGGAGAATGAGCCTCCCCTCTACTTATTAGAAACAAGGTAAAGCAATCTGTACATGTCTAGCAATCCATATATATCTTGCTTGCCTAGTTCTGCATTTCAAGGGACTGAGACTAACTAATCCCCATGGATTACACTTTAGCCTGGAAAGGAGCAGGGGCTGAGTGGAGTGGATTTGCAGAGCAAGAAAACAGCCACCAGACACACTATTCACGTTTTCTGGAGGCTTTCAGGACTAGTTCCTAGCCTGATCCTGTGAGTGCTTTTCTGTGGCTACAATGCATCTTTCAGTTTAGTTTCAACTAAAAGAAATCCATCTCCTGTACCTCAAGATCCTTTGTGATGTGAGCCACAGTGCAGCCAGTGAGGAGCATCAAGCAACCTGAAACACTCCTGCTCCTAACTAAAGCACTGTAAATATTTACGAGGTAGATGCCCCTGCTGAAGCTCATGCACAGGTGATGCCCTGCCTCCAATCCTCAGTTGCTTAATGGGATCACATGCACCTAATAGTACTTGGTTCATAGCAATTGTCTGCCTCTGTAGAAACAATATGCAAGCAAAACAACAACTAGGAGTATGTAGAACAGTATCTACCCTAAGTATAGGAAACAATATTAGTGTCATTTCAATGTTACAGAGTTGAAAAGTGATTGTTTTGCAATACTCCCTCCAAATCAGAATAAAGCAATACCCTGTGCTACTTCACACCTGAGTAACCAGTAAGCCTCAAGCAACCAATGTTCACATATAAAACATATTACATGCAAGATATTTAAGATGATCGATGTAGAACATCTCAAGACAATATAGCAGCAGCACAAATATATATGAATAAACTTCCATTTCATAACTGACTGTTTCTAGAGCAACTATCTTAAACAGAAGTCAAATGACACTAATATTCAGAGGTGCTTGTGGAACACAATTTTAGGGAAAAAAATGAACATATGTCAAAACAACACATCTATACTTGAATTTAGCTGTGTGAAATATTACATAATATTGTAATTCCTAAAATCACACTTGATACTATGTGCTTTTTTTATCCTTAAATTACTACTTTTAACATTTTGTGCAGATAGAGCAAATTGAGTAACTTTATCAATAGATCCCAGATCTTTATTTTTGGGAGTCTGCATAATGAACTCTTTTTGCTGCATGAACACAAGGCCCTGAAAGACCCTTACTGTTTCCCAAACCTGTAACAATCATAGAATCATAGAAAGACTTGGGTTGGAAGAGGCCTTAAATATCATCTAGTTCCAGCCCCCCCAGTCATGGGCAGGGATGCCACCCACTAGATAGGTTGCTCAAGGCTCCATCCAACCTGGCCTTGAACACTTCCAGGGATAGGATATCCACAACTTCTCTGTACAGTCTGTTCCCGTGCCTTACTACGCTCAGATTCAAGAATTTCTCCCTAACATCTAATCTAAATCTCTCCTCTTTTAGTTTGAAAGCATTCCTCCTTGTCCTATCACTACATGCCCTTGCAAAAAGTCACTCTACCCCTTTTTCATACAAGTCGTGAATTTTATATGCCCCATTTAAGTACTGAATGGGCACAATGAGTTGCAGATTTTACTCTTTTTTACTGCTCGTCTCAAGTTTATATTCAATATTGGAAAATGTTTCCTAATCTCCAGGGATACCAAGAGTGGATCCTTCTGAACAACACACTTTACTCCATAGCTGCCTTACAGTGCAGTGGCTAAGCTTGATGGAGATCCCCTCCAGCCCCAGGATTGCAGAGGAAACCACAGCCTGACTGCTGCTCCTGGGATGGGGGGTGATCTTTATTTAGATTCATTAAAAACTTCCAATTCCTAAGCTCTACTAATTGTCATGTAAAAAGAAAATAGACATACCATATTCAAGAGGATTCCAGATTCTTGTTGTCTGCATCCCTTAAATTGTTTTGCAGTGTTAGACACCTGATTTGCAAAAGCAAGCAGGTCTTCCACAGTCCCATATTTGACGGAGGACATAAAAGAAACTTCCCTTTCACAAAACAGTAAAGATTCCGCACGTTCATCATTTTGATTCGCCTCTTCACACATTGTAATTAAGCTGTTTTCATAGACCGCAATGTCTTCACCTGGATAAAGGTTTTCCATGATGTCTATCACCTCAGACATATTTAGATCAGTTAGCAACAAGTCAATCTCCTCTTTGCTATCACTACCCGTGCTCATATACTCCATTACTGTCCACTTTGCAAAATCACTCCTGAAAAAAAAGAAACAAACCTGAAAACACTTTTCACCTCAATTTGTTTTAGCAAAGTAAGAGTGAAAAGAAGCAATCAGGGTGATCAACAGCTCACCATTATACAGTTAGATTTAGAATTAATAATTTGTATTAGGAAGAAAATCATAATTAGTAGCCTTGGCAAAGACAGAATGGAGAAAAAGTCTTTGCTAGTGAAATTTATTCAGAAGTTATTAGTGAACCTCCCCCTGTCATTCATTCTTGGAATTTATTAGAGGAACTGGCACAGTCAGTATACACCAATGTGATGGATATGCAAAAATGAAGGAGCACCCTCAATATAAATGAAGGAATTAATTGCTGTGATGGATATGCAAAAATGAAGGAGAACCCTCAATATAAATGAAGGAATTAATTTTTTTGAAAGGAAAGACAAAGAGAGATATAAACATGCTCAATTAGTTCATCTCCAGGATTTTATTGGCAATTTATGTGATGTATCCAGAAAGAAGGGAAGGTCACAGAGTAAGGTCATTTCATGAGTAATAAGTTAGTAACATTGTACAAAGCACAAGTAAGTCACCACCTGAGATACACAATCCCCCCCCTTTTTTTTTTCCTTTGGCAAGTAAGTGATCAGAAACAGACTCAAACTGAAATTTTCACCAGTTTCAGAAGAAGGTCAGAAACTGAGTTATAAAAGGAATGAGCTTTAGAAGCAGTTTCCAGCAGGTTGTCCTGTCCCCTCTAGTCCTAACAATAACTTTTAAAGCTACTATTAGAACGATTTTGCCCAAGTGGATTTACAGAAAACTGGGTTCAACACCCCAAAAAGTCCTTTCCTATCCCAGATTTCTACTTTAAGTCAGAGTTACTTATTCAAGTTAAAAACATATGCACAGTCAATCATTAAAATACTGACACAAATAGTTTTAAACACATAAATGTCTAGAGCACTTACCTTGTATTTAACCTGGTTACATCACTCAAAACCATTAAAAACGTCTCAATATAATCCCTGAAGTCGTCACGTTTTTTTTTGAACCCGTATTTACCACTGACGATAATTTCACTGTGTTCTGTGGCAGTCTATTAAAAAAAGCAAAACAAATAAAGCCATTGCAGACCAGCTCAAGCAGAAGGACTGGTTTGTACTCATATAGACCATTTGCTTCACAGGCTTCACGGAAAGAAAAACTAGTAATCACAAGGCTGAGATAAGAGGGGATTTTTCTGCAGAAAAAAATGACAGCTCAAAAAAGAGTCAAGCTACTGCATGATCATCCAGATTTCCAAGTAGTAGTAAAAAGTAGTTTTTCCATGGTTAGGTCCCGAGTTTTATTCTCTCTGCTTCATGCTTGCTTATAGCAAAGAGAGAAGGATCTCCTTTTCCTCTAGCAGAGCTGAGTAGAGCACGGCTTCTTTAGAGAGCTCTCATTTCCCGTTTTCATAATCCACTGCAATCATCTATTTTGGGCAAAAGATAATAACCAGACAAAAAGACCCTAAAAAAGAAAAGCAGCAAACACAACCTTATCTCAAGGACAAGCAGCAGACCCTGAGGCCACGAAGCAATGCCGTTTACCCAGGTACAGTTTCTGGTTACGATCACTATCTTTCTTACCCTTGCCACAAGGACGTGGAAGCTTTGTGGCACATATTTCTCATGGGTTAGAGTATTTACGTCAGCTCCAATGTGAAGAAAACCAAGTAAAATGACGTGTCTGGCTTGGCAAAGAACTCAGCCCACGTGCTGAGAGTTTAAAAGGTAGGACAGGACAGCAGATGCAGCATTGGAAAAGGCAAGGGGAGTGCCTGTTCCTTTTCAAACTCAAACCCAAACCCTGGAGGTGATGGGGGCAGAGCAGCACTGTGCCCCCTGCATCCCCCCATGACAGACACAGTGACTTGCACCAGCACTGCACCAGTTCACCCAGCCTCGAGTCAACCTGCACCCATAGCATTAGAGCTGCCAGGTTGGAAGCCTTGTGGTCACTAGCACTACTCACTTGGGGAGCACCCAGGCTTTGTATCCAGGGTGCTCAAAGAGGTCAGGTTTTCCAACTTACACAAGAAATAAAAGATGCTATGAGTGTTTTCTAACCTATCACACCATCTTGCTGCTCCATGACCAAGCTATAGGCTGTTAACAAAGCCTGAAAGTGGTTACTCTTTACTATAAAGGAGATTTTTCCCTTTCCTTACAGCAAGACTTCATTGCCTTTTTTTTTTTTTTTTTGGGTGCTGAATTAGTGGGGGTGGAAAGAAAAGAAACAATCCAGTCATAAGAGGAACTGAGAGACTGCATATATAAAGTCAGGTAAAGTTACAAACCAGTCCTGAGGGACTTTCTGAAGAAAAACATGAGCCTCTGGATGCTCTGGTCTTTTGTGGATAAAAACAACGATGTATCACAATTAAACTAATTTACTCTCTCATACCATCTGCATGCAGAAGGCACCTGCACAGATTAGACCAAAGGCAGCTTTCTGTCAATGCCAGTTCTGCTCTGTTCCTCAAAATGCTCCCAAACTACAGAACAATACTAATAATATTCTCGCCAGTTTCACTACAAAAAAAAAAAAAGGCCTGAATAACAAGAAAAAGTGACCATAACCTGCATATTCTCAGTCCTGTGCTTTAAGTGCTTGAAAAAAGCTGCAGAGCCTTTACAACTACCTGAAAGGAAGCAGTAGTTAGGTGGGGGGTCAGTCTCCCAAGTAACAAGTGATGGGACAAGGGGAGATGGCCTCAAGTAGTACCAAGAGAGGTTTACATTGGATATTAGGAAATATTTCTTCACTGAAAGGGTTGTCAAGCACCAGAATAGGCTGCCCAGGGAAGTGGTGGGGTCACCACCCCTGGGAGGGTTTATCAGACCTGTAGATATGACACTTAGGGACATCACTTAGTGGTAGGCTTAAAGGTCTTTTCCAGCTTAAATGATTATATGCATCTATTTTCCCTATACCTAGCAAATTCTAAACACATTAATGTTTACATAATGAAAGCAGTGTCTATCCTATAAAAGCTGATTTTTTAAATTATGCAGCAACTTAGTGTTATATTTCCACCACTGGTAAAAAAAATATGTCTATTTGCCAACAGGAAATTCACCTTTCCTCTTTATCCATAAAGTCTTGTACTAGTATCAGTGGTGGGCAGTCATATAATATTCTAAGTCATTCTATATAATCCAGGCTCATGAAAAAAAATTGGATTCACTAAGTGTGCTTTACTTAGATTCTCAGTTTAAAAACTGGTTTTACCTGCAGTGGAAAAATAAAAGTACATGTAAGCACTTAAGTTGCTAAAGCACAAGACTCTTTCTCCAGTTCTGCCAATATTTCAACATCATCACATGAGTAATTTGGAAGGCAAAGGTTCATAACGAGTAGCTTTCCATTAAACCCCTTTTGTCTGAGAAGTGTGCTGCCTGAGAGCATCCCCATAGCCACCATATAAAATAAGAGTAACTGGATGTCAGACTTCTGAGACCTTTTGGCATTTTTATGGGTCAAAAAAAAGTAAGCAAAAACTACAATAAAAAAAAACCCTCCAAAAATAAAACAGCTAGCCTAAAACTGCATAGGCTGGCTCGATGCAATTATACACCCATAATAAAGATCTTTTTGTGCTGTTTTTAGGGAATAAATTTCTAGCCTAAGTGACAAGTGATTGCCCAGTGGTCACGGAAAAACAACTTCTAAAAAAGTTATCCACAGACCTTGAAAGATACAATCCCGCCGAAAAAAGGAAGTTCTACTCTTAAGAAACAAGGAATATAAACGATATCAGTTTCGGCATAATTTCACTTGGAAGCTAAACT